TGGTCCCCTAATACCCACACAAAGACTTACTATTAATTATAAATGCTCAGCTGATAGCTTAGGCTTGTTACTAACTACTAGCTTTTACATTTTAGATTAACCCATATTTCTTATCTATGCTCTATGGCACAATCATCTCTCTGCATCTCCCGGTGACTTCCCGTGACAGCCATTCTTTCTGTGTCCACAAGTCCCGCCTAGCTACACTGACCAGTCAGCTCTCACATCTTCATAGCGTGCAGAATGATTATTCCACAGCATGAGCTTCAGTTAACCTGTGTCTTTTTATTTTAACATTTGTCCTCTCTGAGGTTTAAACATAGGTTAATACTTCTTCCTTTTGGGGCGTGCGTGCCCACGTCCGTGATGAATCTGAATCAGGCCCCTCCACATGCTAGGCAAGTACTCTAACACTGAGATACATCCCCAGGTCCTAACCGTTCTATAAAGTAGCCGTTTTTTATGTAATTTGTGGTCATTGTTCTTTTTATCAGGGCACAGGTCTCTATAGTTTCTGTAGCTAGTCCTATTGGTTAGTTTCAAGTTTGGTCCCCTAGAGGTGACAGTATTGTTGATATGATCTGTTTAGGGGTGAGAGGTGTAATTTTGTGGTAGAGTGCTTGGTTAGTGTGCCGAAAACAGAATTATCTTTTTTGACCTTGAAGATGGGTGCATCTTTTGATGCAAGTGTTTTTCTCAGTATATATAAGAAAAACACAAATAGAGAAATAAATGTTCATGGAGTCTTGCTTGTGAAAATATAAAACTGAAAGTCTCCAGAAAGACAGTTGCAGACTGTTTGTATGTAAATACTTTATTTTTTTTTTTTAAGATTTATTTATTATGTACACAGTGTTCAGCCTCCATGTATGCCTGCAAACCAGAAGAGGGCACCAGATCTCAGTACAGGTGGTTGTGAGCCACCATGTGGTTGCTGGGAATTGAACTCAGGACCTCCGGAAGAGCAGTTCGTGCTCTTAACCTCTGAGCCATCTCTCCAGCCCTGTAAATACTTTATTAATGGAAAGGAACAAACTATAGTTATGTAACTTGAGGGAATTTCACAGGTTTCATATTCAGTGAAAGAAATCTATACTGGATAGTCCTCTAGGAAGGCAGAAGCAGCCAGTTCTAAAAGTTCCTACAAAGGCCTAGTTGAGGGAGAGTGTGTGGCTTGTCATTTATACTCACAAAGCAGATGTTCTTGTGTTCCTCTTAGGGAACGCCAGATCAAGTGTCCGAAGTGTGATAAACTATTCTTGAGAACAAACCACTTGAAGAAGCATCTTAATTCTCACGAAGGAAAACGAGATTATGTCTGTGAGAAATGTACGAAGGCTTATCTAACCAAGTACCATCTCACTCGGCACCTGAAGACTTGCAAAGGGCCCGCCTCCAGTTCCTCGGCACAGGAGGAGGAGGAGGACGACTCTGAAGAAGATGATCTCACAGACTCTGTGAGAACAGACGACTGTAGGATGGGCAGTGCCATTTACTCAGCAGACGAGCCTCTCCCCACACATAAATAGAAGGAAAACTGCTCGGATGGACCATGCATCGGGAAATCACAGAACCAACGCACTGCAGTGGTTTCTAATGTGGAATGCTTTCTGATCCTTCCAACCCACTGTCAAAAGTGGACTGAGTGGGATAGCTAAGGCAGTTCATGAGGAATATCCATATGGGATTCTTTAGGGTGGACTGGAGACAAGGCATGTGTCTGCCCCATTTTTAAGCAATGGGTGGCGAGGAAAGGGTCAGCTTTTGATATCTGTTCTTTATTTGCTTAGTAATTTGGGAGATGTATTTATGCCTGAATCAGCGTGGCCTTTTGTTCTTACCAATCAATTTATCTCATTGTTCCATTCTTTTTTCCTCCAGTCAACATGATTTGACCCCAGCCATCCCCACTGTTGACTACATATTATGCACTATTGTAAGGTGTGCATCTCACAGCAAGAATTGCAGCACAGCAGATCGAGTGTTTGGTGATTGTAATAATATATATATATATAGAAAAGTAACACCTGCCTACCTTCTGGCCACTTGCGAGTTTAGATCCTGCTTCTCCATCTCAGGTGTTGAGGGAGCAGGTGGAGCAGCAGTCATGGGTCAGGACAGTGGCTGGTAGAGGAAAAGGCCCAGAAAACCACCTCCAATGGAAGCCAAGGTTAGCCACCTGGTTATGTGTACATTCACTCCTTTATGGTTTGGCCATGTCTCTGACTTCAGGAAAGCCTTCCGTTATTCAGAGAGTACCTGGAATTAAGTATCCAAATAATGTCTGCTGGGTAGTCTCCTGTTATGGACTCACCTGACAAGACTACAGGAGGAAGAAGGGGAATGATCTTTTATGTAGGTTTACTTTATGAAAACCATTAAAATGTTGCTGACTGAAAGCAACATGTAGTTCCAAATGCATTGGTGGGTTTCAGTTAGGCCTTCCCAGTTTTCTTCCTTGCTAAAGGTCCTCACCAGCTAAGCGTAGAGGATACCAAAGGATTTGGAAGATAGAGAAGTCACCATGTGGGTCTGTTTTCAGGTCCCTGTGAGCAGGCACAGCGCTTTTGGCAAGAAGGAGAAATATCCTGAAGGTGACAGGGTTGATGGAACAACCTTGAGTAGAGGAAGGACTCTGCTGGGAAGGTTTTGCTGCTAAAGTATTTATGGGATGAATGTATTTCATTCAAATCTGTATTCCTTTAGGAAGAATTAAAGTCAAAAATTTTTAATGAAAATAAGGCATTTCTTATAATCTTTTGTAGAGGATGGACTCAAAGGTTAAAAGAGAAGAAAGCTTTTAGCTCTGAGATCGTATCCTAATTGTTCCTGTGTAACGGTGCTTAGACAGACTCAACTTCTGGGATTTCTAGGAAGGTCTACAGCTGAAGGCAAGTGCTGTGTGTGGCTCAGAGTGAGTGCTAACACCAAGGCGTGAAGCCTTAGTAGTGCTCAAAGTAATTTCTTCCTTTTCTCAGGAGCATGCACTCGATTAAATTCCTTATTGCCCTGCACAGAGATGCTCTTCAAACTAGAGCTATTCAAGCTAAACACCAAAACAACCCAAGGCAAGAGGAAGGGCGGAAGATTCCTGCTGAGGATGTATGGTGGTGTTTCTACCTTTGACCTCTTGGGTTTAAGTGGGACTAACACTTCTCTGCCTAGTTGCAGGAGGTCTTGTCCACGATTGCTGCTGGGTCAGTGGCCACACCAACAGGATATGGTAAGTGTGGGCTCTGGATCCAGAGTCTCTGGGATTTATTGGGGGGATGATAGCTTCGTGTTTCAAATAAAAATATTAAACAGAAAAGAAAATAACAAAAACAAAGAAGAAACCATGTAAAGAGCCAGCAGTTTGAGGCACTGTAGGAAGAATGAGAGCAAATTCATTAGCATACAGTTAAGGCCTGCTTATGCATAGTATTTTACAGAACCTCCAACATCTGGCTTCATATTCAGGTTTCCTAAGGGCTATGAAGCCTCAGGTGATTCTGAAGCAGTGTGTAGTTGTGTAGGAGTCCTACGTTATGACCGTGTTGCTTATAAAATGGTTTTGCACAGGGTATAATTTACACAAACCTAGATGGCATAGACCTTGAGGTGGGAAGCTGTGGTGTAGAATGGCTGGATAGTTTATAGTAACAAGTTACCAAGTATTACATATGATCTTACATCGGGGTGGTTTATACTAGCATCCCACAAAACTGAGCAATGCTTTCTGCTAGAATGTCAGGATAGCCAGCTACATTATAACTTGCCCATCAGAGATTTTCCAACCCCATTACAGTCTAAGAGCATTGTTGTTGACTGCATACTGTTTTGTTGCATGCTACTACAGATGTGTTAAAGTCTAGGAGCAGGAATGATAAGGTCCTATCAGAAGAAATAAGGAGTAAAGTGCTTGGTAAGCCTGACTTAGTAAAGGCAACTGGATTTTGAGAAAGAACAGATCTGGAAAATCGAGTCATGTGTGAATTACAGGACCAGGAAATTTAATTTCAAGCTCAGAACCAAAGCAATTAACTAGTAAGGGGAAGTATATTACATCCTACTACGTGTTATTTTTTTCTTCACACTAACAGCTTATAGGATTTTACTAAAGCCTGACAGGTGTGAGTGACAGGTAGTTTTAAGGAAGGACCTAGTTCTATATCCTGCGCTTTCCCCATTCTCTGCCAAACACAAATTCTGATGAGGCTTGAGAAATAGCCAGCATTCTGAAAATACTTACTAAAGCATAAGCGAGTGTATTTTAATGACAAATAGAACGTACTACTGTATTACTTAAATAAGAGAACATCCTATTCACAACCTAAGACTTCCAAATCGGTTTAGCAAGTGCCAAAGTTTGAAAGAATGGAAGTTTGAAAGAACTGAGTGGAAAGTTGTCCTGTGAGGCTAAGTGAAATAAAGGGAACAGTGTACAATCTAAGTCCAGAGTGCTTTATGAATGCAATTCAAATTCATCTGAAAAGGAAGGCATAGGTTATGAAGTAACTAGAGGGAGAATTTACTGGAACCAAAACTTGTTCAGCATACTCTGACAGTTTGTTGTCTATTAAATATTTTGATTATAGAAAATTCGTATCAACTCCCCTAAAAGTTTTTAAATATTGGGACAAAGAAAACAGTCCTGAAAAAAAGTTAACTTTGTAACCAAAAGCATTTTAGCAATAGCACTGTCAAAAATATGATTAATATGCAAAAGGTGAAAGTACCTTTAGGAATCCCATTTTAAAAACAAAACAGGCTAAGGAAACTGCACAGTCAGTAAAATGCTTGCTTTGCAAACACACGGGCCTGAATCTAGTTCTAGAACCTACCATGCATATTAGTAATCCTAGCCTGAGAAGGTGAAGACCAGCTAGAAATTTTCCTGTCTCCCTTCTCCCCAGTGCAGGCTGGCTGATAGAGCAAGACCCAGTCTCCAGAACTCTTCAGTTACTATACATACAGTAGAAACCTACAGTTCTAGGTCAGATGGCATATTTAAGGAATCATTCTCTAAAAACTTTTATTTTCAAGAAATGCAAGAACTGTACAGTACCCAGCTGAAGGCAGACACAGGCAGTGGACTGCCAAGGCTGCAGAGGAATGGCAGCAGGAACTGGATTTTCCTTCCATCACCGTATGGCTGTAGGTACACATGGGACATTTTTAGGCCAGCTTCTCGAAACTCCAAGTTCATGTAGGCATCCTAGGAGACTGTGATCTTTGTCAGGACTCCATTGGTGTCTGGGAGCTCCCACAAGGGCCATGAACAGATAAGCCTTTTGCATTGCCAATAACCAGTCTCTCCCGTCTTCCAAATGTTTCGTTCACTAAAAAGAACCATGAGATAAGGACTACAGTGTAAGACAGTAAATTTCTGTTGTGAGGTAAAAACTTAAAAAATATATATTTAATAGCAAGTGAAAAAGTATGCAAGTTGTAAGCCTGACCAATTTTTTTTTTTTTTTCAAGACAGGGTTTCTCTGTAGCTTTGAAGCCTGTCCTGGAACTCGGTCTTGTAGACCAGGTTGGCCTTGAACTCACAGAGATCCACCTGCCTCTGCCTCCTGGGATTAAAGGCACGCGCCACCACCTTAATCATCGTTTTGTACTTTGCCGTAGAGCTTAAATCTGCCTTGGAACAGGGCTTTGGTACATCCCCCCGCCCTGTATGACCGACCACACACACACACACACACACACACACACACACACACACACACACACACTCTCTCTCTCTCTCTGTACATATTTCATGTCTATGAATTCAAATTAGCAACCTAGACAAATCTTGGGATCCTTATCGTCTAGGGAGAATTTAGTGGAGACATACTTTCTCAGGACACCGTAAGTAGTCAGGCAATGGTGGCACACATCTGTAATCCCAGCACTCAGGAGACATAGACAGACTGTGAGTTGAAAGCCAGCCTGGTCTACAGAGTTCCAGGCAGCTACACAGAGAAACCCTGTCTCAGAAAGGGGCGGGGGAGGGCATGATGGGACAGTAAGTTAACAGTACTTATCTTGTAGAAAGTAGTTGAAAAATGAACACATTCATGCATTGTGGTACCTGGGCAAGGAAGGAAGGCTCTTCCTTGAGACTGCTACATTTCTTTTTAGCTTGTCCATTTTAAGTGGGAACACAGACTTGCCATTTCTGCAGCAGGGACTACAGGATACACACTGGGCAGGCCTTTTCCGCCCATGACATTCCCACCCACGCTTAGCCCTTACTCTTTCCTTTCACAAAGAGCAGGAGCTTGGAGGCTCTCACCTGAAGATACAGTGCTTATGTCCCAAACACGAAGCCCCTCCTTCTGACCTCCAAAGGCATAGACAAATGGCAAATCAGGACAACAAGAAGAACAAAAGAGAACTCCCTGGGGAGAGAAGAACTAAAGTCAGTGACTTTTATCCTTCCAGATAGTTCTAACCTCAGCCCCCACTAGATAAGCACCACCATGAAGCTGGGCATGAGTCACCCGCCTAGGTTGCTGAGTACACCTAGAAACTATCCATCTTTTTAAACAACTGTTATCTTAGGTCACTATTAAGTCTTTTTTTCTGAAATGATTCTTTGGCATATGTGCAGGTACTCTACCACTGAGCTGTGTCCTTAGTCTCTTATGTGTTGGTTGTATGTGAGGTCAGAGGACAACTTGTGGGAGTTGTTTCTTTTTACAGTGCCATCTCTCCAGACCCCCTGAGATTAAGGAACTTTCAGCTTTCCCATTCTTAATACTTGGTATGAGAACTATGCATTACTGAAAGTATGAATGAGAAAAATAGAAAATCCTTTAATGCAATAGCACTTGTTATTCGAATAAGTATGAAATCACAGTCATTTATACATAGACTTAGGATGGAATTAAGAACTTCGTGGCCCGAATGCACGTATTTAACAGCTGTGGTGCTCTTCTGTACTGCACATGTTGCTCATGTAACTCAGCGCTCACAGTAAGCACCCCATCTGTTGAACACTACCTGTTCCGCTCTGTGCGCAAGCACACAATAAACCTCAATGTAGTAAATAAAGAGCCACCAATAACTCAAATGCTCAAGTTCCAAAACTTTAAACAGTGGCCACTTCCTTATGTCCTTCCCACTCTTGATCCTGACAAGTGACGCTTAAGCGTGTGACCCTGAAAGGAGTTCAGATAGTAACTGAATTCTTCAAAATACCTAAGTTAGAAACTCTCACCGAACATGACTAGCTCAATATTAACTTCAACACGTCCTTGACTGCAGTGAATCCCATGAAAAGACAAAGTGTCAGGAGATGCTCACCATTTTCATGTCTCTAGAATGAACGAGACTTGGCCTGTCTCCTAGGATGTCCCAGATCTTCACATATTTGTCTGCTGAAGCAGTCACAAGGCAGCCCTTGATCTGACTGCTCAGATCAAGACCTGGAAGATAAGATTAGTTCAGGAGCTACTGTCTGAAATTTAGACTTACTTTGTCATAACTTAATGCATCAGAAAGAAACATCACTCTTGCTCACCAGAGATTTCATCGTTGTGTGCATTAAGTGTAAAAATTGGCTTGTCTGAACGTGCATCCAGATTATACACAAAGCCGTCGTCTGTACTGGCCTGCAGAGTAAAGGATGGGCAAGACCATGTTAGATGGCAGTGGACAAGTGTGCAAATTACAGTAAATATCTATAGAATTTACTAAAAATTAAAATTAAAAACAGACATGAGAACTTTGCATGAGCTATATTTGTGAAGGAGAGAGTGGGGTTAGAAACAGGGGAACACACAAGTGGCATTCACTGTACAGGGCAGAAGGAATACCCGGGGTGGGGTGGGCTAGCACAGTCGTTGGCTGAGGGGAAGATGGATGTGGGTAGCCAATGAGGAATTTATAGGAATGGTGGGATCAGATCATGTCTCAACACTGCCACAGCAGGGGACTGACAGGAAAATAAGCTCAAGAACTGGGGAGCAAAGAAGGTGGGAGAGAGCTAAACCTCTCTGCCAGCAAAGGGCAACACCAGCACAGGAAAAGGTGGGAAAAGTGAAGTCTAAGATTGGACTTGGCTTCAATTCCCAGCACCCACATGGTAGCTCAGCCATCTGTAACTGTAGCTCCAGGGGATTTGATGCCATCTTCTGGCCTCCACATGGTATACACAGGCAAAACACTCATTAAAATAACATGACAAACCAGAAAAAAAATCCTTCACAGCCCTCTATGCAAAAGCTGGACTCGGGTGAACGTAAATAGGATGCATTAATCTCATGCGCCCCAGGGTGAAATGACTAGGCATCTCTACACTTGGTGTGGTTCCTAAAGTGGGAGCCTGCAGAGCAGTAGCTGGAGTGGCATTTCATTTGTATTTTAACAGTCCCACTGGTCAGCCTTACAGACCAGGCAATGGTAACTCTGACCTGTAATCCCAGCATTTTGGTGGAGTTAGAAGGATGTTATTACAGGCTAAGGTGTAGCAGCCAGTAATCTCGGCACTCTGGAGACAGAGCCAGAATTAATGGGAACTGCGGTCACCTTGGGCTACATTTTCTTTTAAAAAAGTATGTTGGGGGGGGGGGGGGCAGCTACAGCTCTTTTTATTCATTCGTTTGTTCATTCATTGTTTTTTGGAGACAGGGTTTCTCTGTGTAACAGTCCTAGCTGTCTTGGAACTCAAACTCAGAGATCTGCCTACCTCTGCCTCCCAAGTGCTGGGATTAAAGGTGTGAGCCACTACTGCCTGGTCTGTAAGGCTGACCAGTGGGCTGCTTTACTCTCTGATCTTTAGGCAAAGGCAAGCTTTATTTATAAAAACACAAATGAAATGCCACTCCAGCTGACAGACTCAGTTCTGAACTATTTTAGTACTCTAGGAGGCCTTGTAACTTTACACTCTATCCTCCCTTAGTGGCATCGTGTTGAATAATATATTCTGCTACTGTTAAAACTTCTCTTGAGAAAAACTACACTCAAATGTTTAGAATTCATAAAATGATCTTACGGTGAAAACACATGACCTTCTCAGAAACACTGTTTGAAAGCTTAATTTCTTACAAAGTTGTCCTAAAACTAAAAAGTGTTCTTTTCTTGCTCAACTTCCTAATTAGCTAGACTGGAACATTTTAGTTTGTACATAAAGAAGCTGTGATATATTGCTGAGGCAGAGGAATTACTTTGAGGCCAGCCTAGGATGCACTTACACTGCATCCCAGAGTAGAAGTGAAGAGGGGAGAAAGCCAGTATAGGCTGAACACACTTGGAAATGGCAAGCCTATCTACCGATCAACTTTTTAGTTTTTTTGATTGGGGTGGTTATAAATTAGGAATATAGTTTTATGTTATATAGCTAAGAATACTTAAAAGCATTTAGATTAAGTTTCATTATTGTCCCATAAACATGACTGCATACTACTGTTGTCTAAATATACTACAAGGCACAGCTTGTTTAAAATGCATGTAAGTTATATTTTCTTAGAAACATGGGCATTACTGTGACTTCTGCTTTCTCGTGTTTTCATGGCTATTTTATATCAGGCTTCCTATTACCAAAGAGAAAGCTAGTGAATAAACACATACACATGAACTGAGTCTGCAAACTAAAAACAAATAAAACCAGTTTTTTTTTTGTTGTTTGTTTTTCGAGACGGTTTCTCTGTGGCTTTGGAGCCTGTCCTGGAACTAGCTCTGTAGACCAGGCTGGTCTCGAACTCACAGAGATCCGCCTGCCTCTGCCTCCCGAGTGCTGGGATTAAAGGCGTGTGCCACCATCGCCAGGCCACCAGTTTTTTTTTTTTTTTTTTTAAGGGAGACAATAGAACACATGAAATACTAATGCAAAAAGAAATACAGAGTGGGGAGCATTGAGGGTGAAGGATACATTAGGAAAAGTAAGGGGCATGGTGGGGAACAGAAAACTCAACCAAAATGAAGCCTAAATGAAAATGCCACAAAGCAGTAGGTGGTAGTGGCACACACCTTTAGTTCCAGCACTCAGGAAGCAGAGACAGGTGGATCTCTGAGCTTGAGGCCAGCCTGGTGTACAGAGCTAGTTCCAAGACAGCCAAGACTACACAGAGAAACCTTGTCTCAAAAACAAACCATCCAAACTAAAAGGAAATGCCACAAAGGAACCTGTTAATTTGTATGCTAATCAAAAGACAAACCCCTCCTGTCTTTGGAGCGACATTATTTCTCAGAACACACACCTAATGGGCCTTATAATGGATTGCGACACTAGGACTTTATTTTCCTTTGGTTGACGTTAGTGGAATCTTTGGAAAGTCTTTGCTATTGATCATCTCTAGAGTTCCATTTACGCATAAGGATTTGAGTAAGAGTATCTTTTGGACTGATTTAACTATTGGAAAACACCAAAACAGATAGGAGCAGGAGGACTTGCAAGTTCAAGGCCAGCCTGGGCTACACAGATCCTACCTCAAAATCTTGAAACAGTATTATGATGGTTAATATCTCAAAAGAACTAGTATGTAGTGAAATGGCTTAAAATATAAAAATATATGAAACACACTGAAATAGGTGAGAATTAGCTAAGTCATTCACAAGCTACCAATTTTTTTTTGTAGTTGAGCCACCATTATATTGTTAAGAAACAGTGTTTTCAATTCTAAGACCCAGAAGCTTCATACTTCTAAATAGTGAAAATGCTTTTCTGAGAATATCTCATAGGAATAGAAAAAGCAATGTGCATATTCTTACCAAAAAATGACATGGTGAGAAGTGGTTCCAGGTCACTCTCTCGATCTGTCCACTGAACCGCCACAGACGATGGTTCTGGTTTGGATTTCGGCAGTCATACAGAGCCACTGACCTACACACATTGCAGGCCATGACAGGGCCAATGTATTTTAGTGAAATGGTTAACATAGCAACATTGTGAATTCAGAATTCAAGTATTTAAAGTCCGTTTGAAGGTTCTAAACGTAAAATTTTCTATTGTACTTATGTTGTGTGTGCAGGTGCTCATATAATTCAGAAGACATGCAATCCCTTGGAGCTGGAATTACAGATGGCTCTAAGCCATCAGATAGAGGTGCCAAGAATAAACTTAGGAAGCCGGGCGGTGGTGGCGCACGCCTTTAATCCCAGCACTCGGGAGGCAGAGGCAGGTGGATCTCTGTGAGTTCAAGGCCAGCCTGGTCTACAAGAGCTAGTGCCAGGACAGGCTCCAAAGCCACAGAGAAACCCTGTCTCGAAAAAAAAAAAAAAAAAAAAAGAATAAACTTAGAAGAATTTGTTCCTCCTACAGAGAACCTAATGACTAGACCATCTCTCTAGCCCACCAGACCCTTCATGTGAATGTTTTGTCTGCATGAATGTGTGTGCAGTGCCCATGGAGGCCAGAGGGGCATCAGATTCCCTGGAACTGGAGTTAGAGATGGCTGTGAGCTACCACGTGGGTGCTGGGAACTTAAAGAGGATCCTTTGAAATAACAAAATGGATCTAACCATAAGCACTTCCCTAGTCAGGTTATTGTTCTTGGGGAACTCAGGGATATGGTCTTACGTTGTGGCATTTCATTTGTATTTTAATAAATAAAGCTTGCCTGAAGATCAGAATAAAAGAGCCCCACTGCCCCAGGCAGTGGTGACACACACCTTTAATCCCAGTAGCTACACTGGCTGCCACAGAAACTGGGCGGTGCATACCTTTAATGCCAGCACTAGAGAGGACTATAAAACAGGAGAAGATAGCTCTCAGACACAGTTTTATTCTGAGGTTCTGGAGGCAGGATTGCCATTTCGGACTGAGGTAAAGGTAAGTGTCAGTGGCTGGCTGTTATACTTTTCTGGTCTTCAGGGCTGAGCCCCAATTTCTGTCTGAGTTTATTAATTGAGCTTTGGTCTTATTTTTCACAAATCACACTGCAGTAGGATCACTGTATCTATTGTTTTCTAGGAGTACTTAGACCCGAAAGAAATAATTTTCTCTTATCTACAGAGTTGTTTTTCAAGACAGGGTTTGAAGCCTATCCTCAAACTAGCTCTTGTAGACCCAGCCTGGCCTTGAACTCAGAGATCCGCCCACTTCTTCCTCCTGGGTGCTGGGATTTAAGGCCTGCGCCACCAATGCCCAGCCAGAGTTATTTTTTCTGAAGGGGCTTTACAACCTTTGCCTGACTTTGTCACAGGATAATCCCAGCACACCTGAGGCGTCTTGAATCACTGCCTACTGTAAACAGTACATAAGGACTTAAGTTCCAGGGATCCTTCAGAAAACATAAATTAGATCAGGGGCTTTGGTATGCAAACTTGTTTTACCCCCCTCCCCTCAAAAAACTTTTGTGTAATAATCAGTAAGTAAGCCTTTGCATGGCTGTTTGAGGTTCAGTCCACAAAACTGTTCCTGTTGACAGAGAGCCTAAAATTACATTCTGGTGTGACCGTCTTTGACCTGTGCAACACAGAATAGCCTGACATTCTATCTTCAACTGGAAACAAATTTTTGTAAAGGAAAAGAAACCAAAGCAAAGACTCCTGACTGGTTTGATTCTACTAGCCATCCTCCCCTCAGACACAGGTGACCAGGGCTCCTGTAGTAGCCTGTTAGCTCCAATTAGATTGATTTCTCCTGAACCCATGGCTTCTGCCAAGAGATACATGAATGCTCCCCATGGAAGAAGAGCACACCTCCCAGTCCATGTAACATGGCAGGAAAAAGTACACTTATTCCAAACCAAACCTCCAAAAGCCTTGGTTTCTCTGCCTTTGGAGAATCAAGTGCCTCTGTTTAGCCTAACCAAGCCATTGTGGGCAGTTACCAGCTGAATCGAGTCTAATGGGCAGAATCTGAAATGGCATTAGGAAATGTTTGCCTTAAATCATCAAGTATGGGATTGAGTACATCACAAAAATGGCTAACTCATATGTCCTTTAGAAACCAGAGAAGTTGGTAGTAGTTAGATTACTATCACAAAACCACATTTCTTTTGAGAGGGAATGAAGAATCAAGGGCTGAAAACTAGCAGTAATAATTTAAACATGTAGCTACCTCAGTAGGGCAGCCTGACTAAGATCAGACGTCTCCTGTTCTGTCTTAGTGTGGTACAGCCCCTGTGAGCCACCCCACCCCAGACCAAGTACTGTAGTTTAAGCATAGTGCAAAGTGCTTTCTTACTTATCATATGACCCAGAAATCAGAGTTTGTGCTTCAAATGGATGAAACTGCAGAGTCTGGACCTAAAGGGAAGAAGAATAAAAGAAGAGATCTATCTTTGCCCACTCTGAGTAATAACAGTGCTACTGTGTGGTGAGACAGACTATGTATTCCCCTCTTTGAAATTCCAATATTGCAATCTGCTGCAGGTTGCTGTTTTGTTTTTGTGTTTTTTTTTGGGGGGGGGGGAGGGTCTCACTATGTAGGCCTGGCTGGTCTGAAGCTTGATACACCAGACTAGCCTAAAGGCCCTGAACTCAAGAGTTTCACCTGCCTCTCTTGACTGCTCATATTAAAGGTATGAGCCACCATGCTTGGTCAAGAAACCAGTTACTAAAAACACAAAGGAGAACCATATTCTCAAATAATGGCTCGCACTTACAGGAATACCACAGCACTCCTCAAACCCTAGGATACAATACTTGCATCCCTCAGGATAAAGTAGAAAAAGTAGAAGGGATTGGACAAGTGCACAAGCTTCAAAGTCCAGCTGTTTTTCAGGTCATCAGTACCCTCAGCAGAGTTACACATCTGCTACAACCTTTCTTTACTACTGTGTAACTGACAATCATACCCCTTTACCCCCAGGATCCTCCATGAGCATATCACAGGGCATTAATGTTCCTGGTTTCTCTAACATTAAAGGATTTTATCTCTTACATAGGGTTCTGTGAACCTCAGTGGTTTACTTATTGAAAGCACTTTGTAAATCATAAATCCATATACAAATGTCCATACTGTTGAGAAGCCCTTTATCCACTAAGTCACATACCTTGTCTGTGTGTGCAGTAAGCCTGGCTGCTGGCTTCCCCACAGACATGTCCCAGAGAATTACAGTGCTGTCTGCTGATGCACTTGCCAGCACATTTCTGGAATAGGAAGAAACAAATTAGTGAAATTGTTCGTAAATACAAGGAGTTCACTTATAATCACAGCAGTGATTATACACAGTAAGGCTTACATCCTGAAAACTACCAAAGACTATCAAAATAAACCAAAGACTGTCAAAGTGGAAAGACCCTTCTCCATTTGTTCTGGAAGACGTAATATTGTTGGGATGGAAACAGCACCTACAGGCTGATTACAGATTTGGCCACACACAATGATAGTCAACCCACTCTGCTCAAAAGCTTACTTCACTTCAGTAGAAAGCAGTAAGCCGATTCTGAAGCTTCTGTGTCTGTACAAGGGACCCATAAAGAAACCTGGGAAGTGCACAGTCCTCAATTTTAAAATTAAAAAGTTAACCAGAAGTAACTTTCAAAAAATACGTTTTGTTGTGAACTACTGGATGTGGGTGCTGAGAATCAAATTCAGGTCCTCTGTAAGCAGTAAGTACTCTTAACCACTTCTCAGGCTGGCAGGTGTCACGTCTGTCACCACCGCCTCCCCTCAAGGGTTTTTCTATGTAGCCCTGGCAACCTCCCAAGTGCTGGGATTAAAGGCGTCCATTACTTTTTTAAGATGTGCTCTCACTATGTTGGCCCAGGTTGTCTCAAATTCTGTGTTCATGCAGTATTCCTGTCTCAGGTTCCCAGTTAGCTAGAACTAGATGCCTGCTGCCCACTTAGCTGTGGCTGTGTTTTTAATCTGCATTTCTCAGTGATTGGTATTTATAAAATTGCAAGGAAAATTAAACATTCAAGTTGGATGAATGATGACCATATTTTCAATTAATGATTCAAGGACAATGGAATATCCTTGTGAAAAAGTTCTAACCCCAGTCTCACTCAGCAACCACACACATCAAAACAGACAGCACATTTAAATATGGGAGCTAAGCTCATAACATGCTAATATAAATTTTGATGATGAGTTAGGAAACAGTTTCTGGGATGCAACAGCAAACACACAAAAATAAACTGGACACCAGCAACATTAAAATGGAAAAGACAGTATGTCCATAGTGCAAATACATTTCTAATTAGGTATTACTTTAGAATATATTAGAGACTTTTACAATTCAATTAGAAATTTCCCACCAAAAAGGTATACATGATGGTCAGTGAGCACAGAGAGCTCAGCATTGCCAATCACTGAGAAACGCATATAAAGTTCAGCTGAATGGGAGACTGAAGCAGGAAGACCATTTGAGTGCAGGGTCTGAGAGAACTTGGGCAACACAGCAAGACTAACCCTTGTAAAAACCATGCCAGGTGTAGTGGTACATGCCTTTAATTCTGGAACTTGGAAGGCAGAGGCAGGTGGATCTCTGGATTTGAGAGCAGGGTGTTCTACATAGTTCCAGGACAGCCAGAGCTATATAGTGAGACCCTGTTTTGAAAAAAACCAAGAAACAGAACAAAACAAAAGACACATTCCAAATACTTTTGACAGGAAGTGGAATGGGTTTGCCTTGGCTGAGGGATGCAGGATTTTGTGTTTTTTTTTTTTTCTTTTTCTTTTTTTGGTTTTTCGAGACAGGGTTTCTCTGTAGCTTTGGTGCCTGTCCCGGAACTAGCTCTTGTAGACAAGATTTTGTTATTATAAGGTACAGTTTCAGTCTGGAAGACAGAAGGTCTGAAGATGGGTGGGGTGGCGGCTGCACAGCTGTGAATGCACTGAATCACTCAACTTGAAAAGGGCTCAAGTGGTGACGTTATGCTGCAGAAGGGTGATGTGTAAAAATGAAATACTGTTTGGTGAGAAGCAACAGTACACACTGTGGCATCTCTGGTACTGCAGGACACATTTCCCAGTGATGGGGAAGCTGGTACATGGCATCCAGGTTTTGTTTTGTTTCTTTTTTTCGAGACAGGATTTCTCTGTGTAGTCCTGGCTGTTCTGGAATTCACTTTGTAGACCAGGTTGGTCTTGAACTCACAGATCTTCCTGCCCCCGCCTCTGAAGTGCTGGGATTAAAGGCCGTGCCAGTGCCGTCACTGCCTGGCTGGTCCCTAGGTTTGTAAAGGGCACCTATGGCAAAGTCTGCTAGGGAACGTGGGGCTGCAACTCAACAGCACAGCTGCTGCCCTGGAGTGGTGCATTCAGCAGGAAAGGCCCTAGCACAGGAGGTGGGCAGTGTAGCCGAGAACTAGAACAATCTGCATCATATGAACGCCATCTTCTTACCTGACTGACTTATTCCAGGAGAGGTCAAGGACAGCATCAGTGTGCCCTTCTGCTGAGGAACTCTGTAATAATTATTTTAATTATTTTTTTGTATTAAACGTCACCCACTACAAACTGACTTTCTGTTAACTTTATCATGGTAAATATTCTTTTCAGAAAGAAACTATAGCAATTTATGAATTATATCAACACTGCCTTTCACTTTCCAAACCTATTTTATTTATTTTTTTATTTTTTTGGTTTTTCGAGACAGGGTTTCTCTGTGGTTTTGGAGCCTGTCCTGGAACTAGCTCTTGTAGACCAGGCTGGTCTCGAACTCACAGAGATCCGCCTGCCTCTGCCTCCCGAGTGCTGGGATTAAAGGTGTGCGCCACCACCGCCCGGCCCAAACCTATTTTAAAAACTACAAGAATATTAAAGATTTTTTTCGAACACATCACAAAAGCACTTCAAAACAAGAGTTTGGTATAGAGCTACTCCAGGTGAATGTGCATCACCCAACTCATCTGTTCTATATTACATGCCAACAAGTTTCATACAACAGAAAATACATGGGCTTTCTGAAATTAAAAAGTACGTTAACTTGTAACTTTCTGTCTTGTTCTACCAAGACAATCTGATTGCAAAAACATGTTCTTATACCCTCCTCTCTAGTAACTTAACCCAACTTGTCTTTTAATATCTATTTTTTACCTTCTTCCCTTTCTTCTTCTTCTTTTTTGAAGTCTTACTTCCCAAGGTAAAGACCGGCTCTAGAGAATCCACTATATCCAGGTCCCACACCTCGATGACAGGGGTCATGTTTCCCACAGCAATGTAATTTCCTATGGGAAGAAACAACACACTTTCGACTGTAAACCAGCCCCACACCTTCCACTCCGGCACGTCACCCTGGGAGCGGCTTGAGCAGCGACTCTCAAACCCACTGAGTCATCTTGGAGTCCTGCAGTTGTAGCAGCTCCTGCTTCCTACCATCGCTGAGCTGCTTTTGAGAGCTGTATTCTAGCAATAAAGGCTCAATCCTTTGGCCTCAGTTATGAAATTTATTGTAGTTAAGCAACAACTCTTGCCCTATTCTCCATGGATGGAAGAACAAGGTCACTTGTTGCTCTTGCAGTATTATATGTTTACTGTTACTGAGAAGCACCAAAAGGGCAACTAAGGGTGTGCGGTGTGGCTGGAAAGGCCACCATGAGAAGCCAGTTACCTGGGACAAGTGTCTCTCTCTGGTTTATCTGCTTTCCTTTTTTCTTTTTTTTCCCTTTGTGAGACCAGGTCTCACTTATAGTCTAGGATGGCTCCAACTCCCACTACCATTCTGTACCAGGCTCATTTGAGTGTTTCCCGAGACCGGTTACATCCCTAAATTCCAGCTGGTAAAAAGATACCACTTCACACTGGGCTTTCATGAGATCCAATAATTCCATAATCAAAAATCTTTCAGATAGCATCGTTCAACCCACAGTGTAGCAGCTTATCCAAACCATGGAGGCACACAGACCCTACGTGATTAAGTGACATTACACTAGTCTCACTTCATAAACTATTGTCAATAACTCTGACTCATACAGAACAAACAATTTTTCCAATTACCAGTTGAAGCATCTGGGCTAGGATCAAAGTTCAGCCATTCTACGCTCAGAGGGTATGCTGACAGGAGTATGTCATGGTGCACATAGAAAGACTCCTCTTCTTGATTGTAAACTGGAAGGATGGGAAGAGAGACTTAAACTAGAGACTTCAGAAGTCACACCCACCCCACAAGAACACTCCCCTGTTGAAACAAAACAGGCCATGGTCACTACTGCCACAGAAAGTCTGTCTGTCCAGTCTAATACATTCTCACCTGCTTTATTGCCAGCCAGATAAATGGGTCTGTTGTCTACTTCATTACAATAGACACTCTATAGGGAGGATTGACATTACCTGCTAAAGGTCTAGCTGATTTTACATCCAAAAAAAAAAAAAACAAACAAAAAAACAAAAATAACCTTGGAGAAAAATAATTGTATTTAGAAATTTAAATGCCTACCAAAAATTATTTCAATATTTCAAGAGTTTATGAAGACTAACAGTCTAGACCAGCACCCTTTCAAATACAGCGACTCACAGAAGTAGCTCTTTACCACAGACATCACGAAGATGCACGCGATGCTGCGACAAGAGTACAGTGGGGAAGTCCTACTTGCCCTTGTCAGGCTCTTTATTGAGGAAGAAGTGAGAAAATAATAATATTTATTTAAATTTTCAGATCTCTGAATATGGGACAGACTGGGACTGGGAAATGTCATGTCAAGTTCTATCACATTAGCTCCTGCTGAGAAGGCACGGTCCTGAAAAAAACGTTAGCTGTCACCAATGTGCTTAGTGCACACTGTAAATTAAACCAGCAACTCAGAGGTGCATGCATAAAAACCAATCTGCCAACCTCAAAAAGACTAATAAAATTTAAATTTTTTTAAAAAATGACAGTTTTTGTTTGTTTTGTTTTGAGACAGAATCTTGGTAATTGGCCAGGCTGGCTTCTAAGTTGCATGGCTTCTCTTGTCTCAGCCTCCCAAATGCTGGATAAGCCTGCACCATCACTCCCAACTATAGAATAATTGGTCTTAAAAAGAAATTATAATTAATTTTCTTAAAAAAGAAAATTAATGCCGGGCGATGGTGGCGCACGCCTTTAATCCCAGCACTCGGGAGGCAGAGGCAGGCGGATCTCTGCGAGTTCAAGACCAGCCTGGTCTACAGAGCTAGTTCCAGGACAGGCTCCAAAGCCACAGAGAAACCCTGTCTCGAAAAACCAAAAAAAAAAAAAAAAGAAAATTAACCTACGTTGTTATCAGTTAACACATCTAAAACATCAGAGTTTTAAAACATCAGAATTAGAACAACATATTATCTATGCTGTTGAAAGCCTTATTTTTGAAAAATTTCTAATATTGATAGAAAACAATCATCTGTGGGGTAAAATGGACCTAATTATAGGCTTCCTATAGACCAGTGGTTCTCAACCTGTGGGTTGCAACCCCGTTTTTTGGGGGGGGGGAGGAGATGTCAAACAACCCTTTCATAGGGGTCACTGAGACTATTGGAAAACAAAGATGTTTACATTATGATTCACAACAGGAGCAAAACTACAGTTATGAAGTAGCAACAAAACACTTTTATAGTTGAGAATCACTACAACATGAGGGACCGTATTAAAAGGTTGCAGCTTTAGGAAGGTTGAGAACCACTGTTACAGACAGCCTCGAAGGTCCTTAGGAGCTACAGAAATCCAAGCTAAGGGGGCTGGCAAGATTGGTTACTAGGTATTTGCCTCCAAGTTTAAATTTAATCACCAGTACTCACATGGTGGAAGAAAAGAATCGATTCCTGTAAGTTGTCCTCTGATACAACACACACACACACAGGGGTGGGGAGGGGAGAAGTTGGGGGCAGCAACAGGGTTCAGCAAGTAACAGTTCTTTGCTGTCTGCCATGAAAGCCTGAGTTCAATAAAGTAAGGAGGGAGTGAAACAAGGGGCAGAAGTAGTAGGGCTGGGAATCTCAGCGTCCAGCGTAGCATGCTTGCTTAGCATACTAATCCAAGACCCCTAGGCTTGACACGAAGCCCTGGGGAAAACAAAACAAAAAAACCCAAAACTAAAACACAAAAAGAAATGTAACTAGGCTGGAGAGTTGGCTCAGCGGTTGGGAGCACTGACTGCTTTTCCAGAGGTCCTGAGTTCAATTCCCAGCAACCACATGGTGGCTCCCAACCATCTATAATGAAATCTGATGCCCTCTTCTGGTCTGCAGGCAAAACACTGTATACATAATAAATAAGCTTAAAAAGAAAGAAGTGTAACTAATGGAGTCACTAGGGTAGGCCAGTAAGCACCAAGCCTAAAGGTTTTGTTTTGTTAAATTGTGACTGTGTCTCAACCGAGCCAGCTCCACAGTTTCAGTTTCAAGGCGGACAGTAGAAGATGAACTGAGATGGACTGAAGGAAGCTCTGGAGGTAGGTGCTCAGAGGAATGACAGAACAAAGAAAAAAGGAAAACATAGGGCAAAGTATCCGACATACTCTGGAGATATGTTTTTGGTATATAAAATATAAACTATATTTCACACTAAAAATACCAAAAATCCAGCAAGTTATTTAGTGTTAACTTAAAAAAAATCTGCTATAGGGCTGGTGATGGAGCTGCGCGCCTGTCTGCTATGAGGTCACTGAAAAAAAAAATCTGATTTAAAATTTTCTAAGCAGATTCCTTTAAAGCTTTCGTCTGGCTTAGGTGCAGGTGTTTCCTGAACTGAAAAAAGTGACCAAGATGTTTTGGTCAAAAAAAGAGCATGGTGATTGGGGAAGAGATGACTCAGTGGTGAAGGCAGCATTAGTTGAGGGCCAGGTTCAGTACCCAACACCCATGTGGTGACTACAAACCACTTGTAAAGACTCTAGTTCCAGGGTATTGGATGCCCTATTCTGGCTTCTATGGGCACTGCACACATCTGGTACATACATGCAGGTGCATTCATACACGTAAAATTAATTTGAGAAAAAAGGCAGCTCTGTGTTAAATTAGGAAGAAAACAATGTTCTATAAAGGGAACTATTACAAATAGCTTTAAGAAATGTAGGACAAGGTCACTTAGTGCTCTTGCAGAGGACCTGGGTCTAATTCCCAGCATCCACATAGCTGCTCACAACTGTCTGTAACTCCAGTTTCAGGGATCTAACACCCTCTTCTGGTTTCCTTGGGCACCAATCATGTAGGACCTGGCCTCTAAAGCTGCACAAATGGCCACATGGAAAGCTTTTTAGCAGGGCAGCTCCTTCACTCACCATGCACCTCCAGATTGCACTGCTCCTGTTCAGCACGGCCACAGATGATGAAGTTGTCAGTGGGCTTAATCAAGAAGTCTTCATGCTCGTATTGTTCCTAAGTGGGCAGGAAACAGTCACTGGCTAGAGGCAGAAATTCAGTAAGGTTTCTTAACAGCTAGGACCAATCTGAAAACTAAAGTGACTAAACACTTACTGTATCTTTTAGGGTAACATATGGATCTTGATCATTACTGCCATAGACCGTAAGACCCAAAAGAGATTCACCAAGAGTCTCAGCATCTGTAATAAGAATTTACTCATCAAAAAGGAAAAATTAAAATCATTCCGACAAAACCTTTTTCTCAAGACAGCTAATTCTGGGCTTGGGTCTATTTTATCATTAACGGTATCATATTCGGGAAAAGAAGCTGTACAAATTTCAAAGTCATTTTCTGTGTGACAGCTGAAACGCATTCCTTCCTAACTTTTAGAAGAGGCAGGCAGATCTCTGTGAGTTCGAGACCAGCCTGGTCTACAAGAGCTAGTTCCAGGACAGGCTCCAAAACTACAGAGAAACCCTGTCTGGAAAAACCAGAAAAAAAAAAAATCACAATCTTCCAATGAAATAATTAACTCAAAAATTTAATCCTTTTAGAAAATATTACGGGGGCTGGAGAGATGGCTCAGAGGTTAAGAGCACTGACTGCTCTTCCAAAGGTCCTGAGTTCAATTCCCAGCAACCACATGGTGGCTAACAACCATCTATAATGAGATTTGGTGCCCTCTTCTGGTATGCAGGCAGGCATGGAAGGAATGTTGTATACATAATAAATAAATAAATATTTAAAAAAAAAAAAAAAGAAAATATTACGACTCTGTTCTGATTCTCAAGCTTGTTCCATACAATTAAAATTCAAGGTGCTAGACGCGCGGTAGTGGAGCACACCTTTAATCCCAGCACTCGGGAGGCAGGGGCAGGAGGATCTCTGTGAGTTCAAGGTAAGCCTGGTCTACAGAGCAAGTGCCAGGGCAGGCTCCAAAGCTACAGAGAAACCCTGTCTCAAAAAACAAAAAAATAAATAAATAAAAATAAAGTAAAATAAAATAAAATTCAAGGTGCTAGAAGCAACTTTTAGAAATGGAAAGAAAGTGTCCTGGGAATGCTGAAATCAGCCAACCAGATAAGGGTTGTTATGGAAAAACTAATACAGCAGGTTTCACAGTTGGCCAGGATGCTCTGCAGGCAATCTTCTCAACTTAAACACTCATTTCCTTCACACATCTGCAAAGGAGTGAGCAGATCTAGAGTAACTGCCATGGTCTGGATGTGAGATTTCCTTCCCTGAAGGCTCTTCTGTTAATGAAGGGGGATGCCAGCTGACAAGCTTCTAGGGAATGATAATCCTCAGAATTCTGAGCTAATCAATGGACTAATCCCTGTTGGACTTAAAATATCCAGCATCATTTCCAGGTGGTAAGGCCAGCATGGAACGCAAATCAAATCCAAGCTCCTATGAAAAGAAACAACCCCTGACACCACAGCTTCACAACACTCTGTCCACAGTACTGCATTCCCTTCATCTCTTGGTGGGGGATCACGACAGCCCCAGCAACCAAAGACGTAAGTTTAAATAAGGGTACATTAAATATAAAAAAGCACCATCTTTGGTGTCTGTGTTTTCTCCATTCATAATGAATAGCACGTATCTACAGATCATCACCCACTCACTAGCAATCCTGAGAACAGACGGGGGCAGTGATTTCAATGGGCCACAGACAACTTTCAAACTGAGCTGATGAGTCTGAGCTGAGCTGTCAGGTCATTTGTTACTCCAAAGTTGAGAGTTGCTGATTTTGAGAAACTTCTGACAGGCTCCAGAGATGCAGAGTAGTTGGGATTGACACATTACAGAGCTTATTAACCGACTCAGGGCGAGGGTGAGCAAGGTGCATCTATCTCTTGTCCTCGAGATTTCAGGTTAATGTTACCCGGGATCATTCCAGAAGGCCACAACGCACACTCACACAGCTCCTGCCAGTTCTTTATACTGCCTTTGCTAGACGAGCATCTCGGCCAGTGTCCTCGGCTTGCGTCTTTCCCCCAGGCTCCCCTCTCCTCATTATCTCAACTGGTAGTGCTGGAGCTGCAGAGAACTCAGTTACAGGGTCACCCCTGACACATGCAGGAAAACAGACGGCCCCTTCAGAGCTCAGATTCACTCTTAGGCCACAGAGCTCCCTTCTAAACTAGTTCAGGAAACAAGTCTAATCTGGAGGCAAAGTATCTGACCTGACCCCAGGGACATAAAGCAGATAGAAGCTCTGGGTAGCAGCGGGTCTAGACCGCTGTGAGCAGACACAGTAGAGGTGAGGAACTTCTCACCTGGGTCGCCCTCCTCATCATAATTATCCAAGTCGTACTCGGCCAGTTCATCATCATCTAGAGTACGGTCATCCTGTGGGTCCCCATCCTCCAGGGACTCCCTAGGCTGTGCCTGGGTACGAGCACTCCGAAGACCATCTTCTGAAGGACTGCCTGCCTCCTCTTCCTCACTGCCACCTTCTTCTCTGAGTGAAAACAAACAGGGAAGTCACCCAGGTGGCACCACCCAACAGCAAGCAGGTGACACACCAGATGCAGCAACACTTGAAACTTACTGTAATTTTTCTTTTGCTTCAGCGATGAGACGCTTTACTTCCTCTTTACTTAGCTCTACCTACAAGGGAGCAAACGCTTCATTAGAGAATATTTGTGGAAATCTACTGTGGGATGTTTCACTCTTTTGGCTTTTGGGGCGCCCGCCACCCAGCTCCCAAATAAATCACACAGCGGCTTACTCTTAGTTATGAATGTCTGGCCTTAGCTTGGCTTGTTTTCTTAAATTAACCTGTTTACCTTTTGCCTCTGGGCTTTTTATCTTTCTGTTTCTGTACACTTTCGTGACTGGATGGGTGGCTGGCCCCTGACGTCCCCCTCTCCTTCTATTTATACTCTCTGCCTGCTAGGCCCACCTATCCTTGCTCCTGCCTCTTTATTAAGACCATCAGGTGTTTTAGACAGGCACAGTAACACAGCCTTAAACAAATGCAGGGTAACAAAAGTCACACACCTGAAAATAATATCCCCCAAAAGAAATTAGGAGCCTTTGAACTAGGTCTTCAGGCAAATGTAAACTATAACTTCAAGAGCCACCAAGACAATTTGCTCAAATTGCTCAAGGCTCGAAATTTAAGTAGCTGGAGCTTGTTGCTATAGGTCCTTATGATTAAGACTTCCTCCCCCAATACTGTTCAGAAGTCCTTCCTCGGTATTCAAATAGGTTGACTTTTGCAAAATGGATCTGTGGTAGCCTATTTTTCTTCCAACCATCTCAACCTCCAGGGGCACCTCTCTAGCGTGCATTTATTCATGTAACATTGGTCCTCTGCTTTTTTCCCTACCACCACTGCCAAATGCAAACTGATTCTTCCTGGGAACTGGGAACCAATTACACCCTTCAACTTCCCCCATCTCTAATCTTGAACTCCAGCTTAATTTTCCCAACTTCCCGTAAGATTTCCTGTTTGGGCATCTTTTGTTCTAACAGTTTAAAACTGAGGCCTTCAAAACCGCCATTCCCTCACCTAAACGACGATTCAGTACCTTTAAAACACTAACACTACTAAATTAAGCTTATAAAAGCCAACGATGGTTTGGTATTGTTTACTTAAGTGTGGCGCTGGCCATAATGGCAGCGCTCCAGGACTGATGGTGAATCAATCAATTGCCGAGTTTCTACTCTAAAGAGCCGCCAGTTCTTCGGTGGCTCATACCGGTTAACTCTTAGTACTTAGGAAACTGAAGCGGGAGGATTGCCATGCCTTAAGTCTGAGGCAAAAATTTTGTAATACAAGGACGCTCCCAAGGACCTCCTATTTTCGACGAGACAGATACAGAAATTAAAAGCTAGGAAACACTGGGGAGGCAGGGAGCTCAGACATTCAAGTTTTTGTTAAGCAAACGTTAGGCTTAACAAAATTCCATCCCAGAACTCGCTTGAAAACGAGGCGCAGTGACAAGCACACCTGTAATCTCCGCATTGGAGATTACAGGCACAGGTGAATTTCTGGTGCCTGTTGGCCAGCCAGTCTATCTCAATTGGCTAGCTCTGAGTTGAGACAGCACACAAATACACAAACATAAGAACCTGGGCATACACACAAAAAGGTATTTGTATTCTCTGGGGGTGGAGAATGAGAACTAGGGATTTTTAGGACTCCCCATCAAATACTTCAAAAGATGTATGTCCCTTTAACAATGAAAGCCATTTCCTCTTGGACAAATCGAATGAGGTGACTGTTGTACCTATGCTATAAATATGCATTGACACCGCTGTAGGCTAAACACCAAAGAAAACAGTGACTAAACACTATTCTCTGGTGGAATTCACACCTGTAGGGAATACTTCCATCCCTCAACCGCTGTAAAGTCAAGAGAAAAAAAGACCTCTGCCCTATTTCGCTCAAACATATCCTGGGACCCCGAACACCGACTGAGCAACCGCATTCTTTGCCACAGTCTCCAGCTTTTGCTCGATTTCTTTCCTTGTCCTCCCTGCCCCAAAACGTTCTACCCGAATCACCAGGAATTCCTAACCAGCAAGCACCCCGCCCCCTTCCAGGGGCATAAACTCCACGTGCTCGCAAATTCGGGGGTGGGGCCGGGCTTCCGGCTCCGGGCCGAGAAGGGGTGAGGTCCCCGCTTTTCTCGGGACACCGAACTACACCGCAAGCGACTACAAGTCCGGCCGACCCAGACCGGGCGCCGCTGCGCGGCTCAGGGCCGGCGCGTGCGTCCCCACGCGAGGGCGACCCTGTGAGGGTCCCCGGGCGCCTCACTTTGTCCGGCGTCTCTTTGGCCACGCCGCGGCGGACCCAGGCCAGGCAGGTCACTTGGCGGCTGCGGTTCATGGTCGTCAGCGACAACGCGTCTCAGGCCGGCGGACCTTATTGCAGGGAGAGACGACACCAAGCTCCGCGAAGGGGCGGACGGCGCGCAGGCACGGGCGCTCGCTTGACGTCATCCGCAGGCGCCGTAGGGAAAGAGGCGGGGGATTTGCAGGAAGTGGGCGTAGCCGTAAGCTGATGAATGGGGATCTGGGTGGTCCGTGCTCTTGCGAAAAGTGTCCTGGGGCCGACAAAGGAGATCTTTGGAACTCTAACCTTCCGCCCTTACGTGTTTTTGCTTTTAAACCCCCCTACAGTACGGGGTCAAACCAGAGCCCCGAGCACGGTACATAAGTGCTCTGCCACAAACTACATCCTCTTCCTCGCCCCACTACTTGCGGTCTTTGGAGAGTTTCTCACTATGTAGCTCCAGGCTGATCTGGAACTCTGTATCTTTCTGCCTTAGCCTCCCGAATGCTAGAATAACAGGCGTTCACTGAGTCAGCTCGCCCAGCAACTTTCATTACTGAATGTTACTTTCTCATAGTAAAACATTTAGTACCTGAACCGGCACGGTGGTGTGTGTCTTTAATTCCAGCACTGGAGAGGCTGAGACAGGGTTGCTGCTGAATGAAAAGCAGAAATAAGAGGAGGACTTGGCTGCTCTTTAAGGGGTTGAGGTTTTTATTATAAATATAAGGGAGAATACAGGTAGAGACAGAGACCTCTGGGGGAGTCCAGAGTGAACGTGGCCGGGACAAGAGACTAGCCAAGAAGTACAAGGCAAAGGAGCCATTGTAGCCAAAATAACTGGATTACATAGGGAAGAGCCACCAGGGAAAGAGCAGTCCAGCCCTTGGGCTGGAGAGTTCAGAGTAAGGGTTGAGGTAAAACAGCCAGGAGGACCCTGCCACAGGTGGGATTGAGGGAGAAGGGAGGCTAGAGTCTGTTTTGATACGCTAGTAAGCACCTTAGCTGTTTGTCCTGGGTTTGAGACCTAACATCCTCCGTTGGGGGTCAGCCAGGACTGTGAAGCAAGACGTGGCTAAAAATGACCAAGCCCTCTGTCTTATTCTTTATTGTTGTGATGAAACACCATGACCAAAAGAACCTAGGGAGGGGAAACTTTACTTACTCTTCCATATCACTATCACAGTGGGCGTCAAGGCAGGAGCCCAAATAGGGCAGGAGCCATAGACGAGTGCTACTTACTGGCTTGCACTACATGGCTTGCTCAGTCTACTTTCTTAGAGGAACCCAGGACCACCTGCCCAGGGTGGCACCACCCACAATTGTCTGGGCCCTTCTACATCAGTCACTAATTAGAAAAATGCTCTATAGGCTTGCTTACAGGCTAGTCTTTGTGGTGCTTCCTCCCAGATGGCTCTAGCTCGTTTCAAGTTGACATAAAACTAGCCAGCGCACCCTACTCTCCCCAAAACAGCACCCATAAGTTACCACAGTTACTAATAGTAACACATTTTGTTTATTAGGTTGAAGATGCAATTTTAAGTGTCCCACATAAAATGGCCATCAAATTATGAAATTTTGCTTATGCTAGGCAAGTTCTCTACTATGGAACCAGACCCCCCAACTCCATAATTTTTATTATTGCAAAATATACATAACATAAAATTTATCTCAATCCATTTTGAATGTGCAATTTATGTTTATAATTACAAATGCATCAAAAATGAACAGGTGAGAAACCCTTCCTCTGTTTAGAACAGCACACAGGCATTGACTTCTTTCTTTTTACTGTGCTGTATTGAACCCAGGGCCTTGAGCATGCTAGACAAGCATGCTATCAAGAACTACACTCTTGAACTGACTACTTTTTAGAGGCTACTTCTAAATATCCGACTACGATTGTCTAGATGGGTTCATCTGGCATACGGGTGGGCGTATGCTTGAGTAGTTGATGTTGGGGTTCCCTGTGGCAGTTGCCCTATGAGTGGCTGCTCCTGTCTAGTTTGTACCCAACATAGTGCCCAGTGCAAGGCAAGCACTTGATAAATATTTTAATTTTTGTCCAACGAATGAACAAATTAAAGAATAGAAGGTAAGCTAGCTAGATGGCTATTTTTGGGCCGACACAAACTATCTTCCTTTTCTGGACTTATTTCAGCAGTATGCCATTTCAGCCCAAGTTGTGAATTTGCTTGAAAAGTGAAAACCCAACTACAGCTGACATTATTGGGTTTTTTTATAACAAGAACTGACAAACTGAGCTTAAGCAGCTGTTTCTAAGTTTTGTTCTTAGGCAATGAGCTTATTTAACCCAGAAAACTCTCATTGCCAGAGGCGGGTTGGTAGCACATTAACTATTCTTGGAGTTAAGGTCCCTGTGGATGAACCCAGGCCCATGCCAGCTCCTGTTCACCCTCCGGATCAGTGCTCTGTGTAATTGGACTGATAAGCATTAATAGCTGGCCTTGAATGCTATTGTGGTGGGTGAATGAAAATGGCCCCCATAGGCTTATAGGGAGTGGAACTGTTAAGAGGTGTGACCTTTTGGAGTAGGTGTGACCTTGCTGGAGGAAGTGTGTCACTGGGGTGGGCTTTGAGATTTCAGATGCTCAAGCCAGGTCTATTTTTTTGTTTGTTTGTTTTTTTGAGACAGGGTTTCTCTGTAGCTTTGGAGCCTGTCCTGGAACTAGCTCTTGTAGACCAGGCTGGCCTCGAACTCACAGAGATTCGCCTGCCTCTGCCTCCCGAGTGCTGGGATTAAAGGCGTGTGCCACCACCACCTGGCTCAAACAGGTCTAGTGTTGCTCTCTCTTCCTGCTGCCTTTGGATGCAGATAAAGATCTCTCGGCTACATCTCCAGCACCATGTCTGCCCGTGTGTGGCCATGCTTACCCCCATGATGAGAATGGACTAAACCTTTGAACTTCCTTTGTTTTTGTTTTTAGAGACAGGGTTTCTCTGTGGCTTTGGAGCCTGTCCTGGAATTAGCTCTTGTAGACCAGGCTGGCCTTGAACTCACAGAGATCCACCTGCCTCTGCCACCACCCGGCTAAGTGTCTTCCTTTGTAAGAGTTGTTGTGGTCAATGTGTCTCTCCACAGCAGTAAAACCCTAACTAAGACATCTAGGAAAGGAGACTATGATACCCTTCTTCCTGATTCCACCAGTCTGTTTCTTGCCCCTCTAGCTTACCCTGCAATTTTAGCTGATAAAAAGTTGAAGGGAGCCTGGCAGTGGTGGTGCACGCCTTTAATCCCAGCACTGGGGAGGCAGAGGCAGGCGGGTCTCTGTGAGTTCGAGGCCAGCTTGGTCTACAAGAGCTAGTTCCGGGACAGGAACCAAAAGCTACAGAGAGGGCTGGAGAGATGGCTCAGTGGTTAAGAGCATTACCTGTTCTTCCAAAGGTTCTGAATTCAATTCCCGGCAACTACATGGTGGCTCACAACCATCTGTAATGAGATCTGGTGCCCTCTTCTGGCCTACAGACATACACACAGACAGAATATTATATACATAATAAATAAATAAATAATAATATTAATAAAAGCTACAGAGAAACCCTGTCTCGAAAATTACAAAAGAAAGAAAGAAAGAAAGAAAGAAAAAGTTGAAGGGATAATAATGACTACCAGTTACCAAGTGCTAGAAACTATGAGCAGAGACAAACCCAGATATTTAGAAACCCCTGCATGGTGGTGTTGGTTCATGCCTGTAATCTTAACATTTGAGAACTGAGGCAAGAAGATTATGGGTTGGTTAGTGTGTGCCACATGGTAAGACCATGCCTCAAAAAGAAAAGAAGGAGGAGGAGGAGGAGGAGGAGGAGGAGGAGGAGGAGGAGGAGGAAGAGGAGGAGGAGGAGATGAAGAAGAAGAAGAAGAAGAAGAAGAAGAAGAAGAAGAAGAAGAAGAAGAAGAAGAAGAAATTTTATCTTCTCAGTGTCAGGCCCAAAAGCAATGTGGGACAAAAGTCCAGATCTGTGTGGTGCCCGCTAGCACAGCAAAGCACATGCTAGCCTCTGTGATTCCTCAGTGTCACAAAACCTCGTGGCTCTTCTCACCCTGCCCATACCCCAAATTTCTCCAGCTCATGAGCTTCCCTCCCCCAGCCTCTCGTTTCTTTATAACGCTGTCATTTCAGCCAAGCTCTCTGATTTGTCTCCATCGCTTGCCCCATCCCCTATCTCAGTCATCTCTGTCTCGTCCTCTCTTGTCCATTACCCCACTCATGGGTGGCTATATTCAGTTTACTTCTTTCTCAGCTCCAGGTTCTTCCAGAGGCCTCTGATTGTATTCTCCCTCACATCTACAACAAAATCGTTCCTCCTCAAGCGTACCTCAGGGTGGTCATGTCCTCATTTCATACATCTAGTTTATACGCCCAGAACTGAAGAGAGGTTCACACTTTCACAAGGGCAAATCTGACGAAGATCTTGCTACCACAGTATTGCCCATACCTAGCAGAGTGCCCGACAGAACAAACGGCAATAAGGGCTTATGTCAGAGATGAAAGATATGAGAGTCCTACACGGATGTTTAGAGACATTAGGAAGTTTGCACACTATCATAGAGTTCAGTGGCTCTCAACCCTCCAGATGCTGTGACCCTTTAACACAGTTCCTCATGCTGTGGTGACCTCCCCACCCCAACCATAACATTATTTTCATTGCTACTTCAAAACTGTCACTTTGCTATAGTTATGAATCATAACATAAATACCTGTGTTTTCCGATCATCTTAGATTGACCCCTGTGGAAGAGACCTTTGCCCACCTAAAGGGTCACGACCCACTGGTTGAGAATGACTGACATAACTATTAATGGCAGATGCTATCCAACTCCTTTGTTCCTGTCACACAAGTTTCCTGGTAAAGCTGACCTTCGATTCACTCATCCTTTCAGTTTGTAAGTGACGGGTAATCCGTAACTCCAGTCCAACGACACAAGTGACTTCACAGTACCTGCTGCAGCTTCAGGCTTCCAGTGTCCTCGCCTCCAGCAGCCCTAGAAGATAAGCACCTGTCTTTATCTTACTCCGTTCTGTGCTGGCTCGTGGACTGGGCTGGGATGGGGTGGAGGGAAGTGGGGAGAGATGCCGTCTCCTGATCAGAAGGCCTGTAGAAAAAAAATAATAAATCCCAGCCATA